CGTATGGATTTGAAATGTGAACATGCCTCTATCCTTGGTAAAAAAAATGAGCCCGTTTGGTCGAGTTGTAATGAAGATATTCAACTTTTTCTTTGTGGAGTTACTTACTGGACACCCTATAGATCATATTAATGCTTCTACAGATCATCTTATTTGTTATTTGTCATTAGGATATATATTTGATTATTTTTAAAATAAAAATCTTTATTTTTATTGAGATATTTATTATTTTTAACTGAAAATTTATCTTCATTAGGTTTTTAGAAAATTGAATGGAAATTTAATTATAAAGAATTAAAATGATCACTTTTAAATTAAACTTCATCAAATGTTATTGAAATTTCCATTAAACGTAAATTTTATTTAAATATTTTCGTTTGATTAATGATTTTATTTCGTCAAGAAAGAAATGCACTTGGAATAACAAAGAAAGATAATTTGTGTGCTAAAGTTGTTTCTTATAACAATGTTGGTAAAGTGAGAATATGCGTTTGTTTTTATTTATTTTATTTTCTATAAAACATTTACGACTGTAGTATATTGTTGATAAAATTAATGAAACAACACATGCATTACAAATTTAAAGATAATATTAATGACATTCTTTGTCTCTGTATATGAATATATATAAAACTACAATTATTTATTTTCTAATGTCTTAAACTTTATCGATAGTATGAAAAAGGTTTTTATTATTCTTTCACTTAATAGATTTATACTATCTAACAAATATATCCATTAACCTAATAAAATTTATCTTACAAATAAGTATTTGTTTATATTTTCTTTATTTTAAATATTACATATTAATGTAGTATAATTATAAGATACGTAAATGATATTGGATATAGTCATCGTGTTGTCGTAAAGAGTGTATAATAATCGTACTTACTCGATCTGAGTACTAAATAGAACATTGTTTCACAAAATCAAATTTCTCTATTAAACTTTTTATGTTAATGCAAATTTTGATGAATAATGGACAATATAATAAGCTTTCGTTCTTCCTAGTGTTAGAATCCATTATAATTTGTTCAATTTAAGATAAAAACTCAAATCTGGTCATAGAAGGTATAACCAATAATTGTTATAACTGCTGAAGTTCTAGCTCCAAGCTGAATTTATTGATTATTCGACAAGAAAAAAAAATATTCAAATAAATATAACACACTTTCTTATCCTTCATAAATGAGGTGACAAGGATTTATTGTTCTTGACTTATGAAACAATAAATGATGACATACTAGTCTTACTCTCAATTACTCTCTTCTTCCAATCTGTAATCTTCTTCTTTTCTTTTGTTCTATCAATGCATTTGCCATGGTCTCTTCGTGATCTCTTATATAGTCTTGTATTTTATGTCATATGGATACAACTCGAATGACAGAATAGTGTGTAGTTAATGTCTATATTGAGGGTGATGGTAATGCTACTCCTCTAGTTCATCATCATTATCCTATTAAAAGAAATTAGATATAACTCCAATAACGGAGAGTTGCATCTCAATTCTGCTACAATTGTCAGTAAATCATATCAATGTGACAAATGTCCAGTCAGTTATTGAAACGGATTATGCGAACATAAACAAACGTTATTTATGTTCTAGATAGGAAAAAGAGTACTTTAAATGATGACAGTTGACTTCAAAGCTGCTATTCGAGTTTTTTTCTGAACTTCAGAAAAAAAAAATTCGGATTTCCAATTCATACAGAGCTACCTAAATCAATAATTCTAGTGTCCGATTTTATGAATTATCAACTAGAACGTGTCGAAAAGACGTTGTTTCCGGCCAGAAATTACCAGAAAATAATAAAATCTTAGAAGAAGGAATACAATGCCCGTATTTGGCGGTCGGCTCTGCTCGGTTATAGTTAGTTCCGGTTGGAACCAGAAAAATCGAACTGTTAGATCCAGAAATCATCTTCCTACTTCCAAGTTCCTATAATTTATCGGGACTTTCTTGGCGGAATCTACCGTACATCATTCACATGGATGTCGTTAAAGTTGTAAATTTCGAGTTAGATCGTGTTAAATCGTAAAGAATAGTGAATTTTATCAGATTTATAATTGTTAAACATAAGTACCACTTATAATGAATGATATATTTTGTTTTGCAAATGACTTAATTCTTGCAATCGATGATGCTAATATGTTGAACATGAAGAAAATCAATCGATATTATCATATTGATAACTTTTCCATAGATATTTATAAGTATGAAATCGATCAATAAAGCATAATCGAAGTCAAATAAGGTTAATTTAGCATGTAGTAAAAGGTACGCATCTCTATATTATAGATAAGCATAATCTATTTATAGATGTCACTGCTATATGATACAAAATTATATTTGTTTATTAATCGATATTTACTTCTTCCAATATATTTTTACTTTATCTGCTACTTGATTTGAAAATGATCAAGTTTGTTTTTCCTCAATTTAATAAAAGGGAAAATAATGTATTCATTTGTTTTGTTTTTAAATATATTACTAAAAATTTTAGATCGATTTAATTGAAATAACATATATAATCATGAGTAATCGTGATAAAAAGGTCGTGAGATTTTAAATAAAAAATTTGTTCAGCAAAAGGTTACTACAAATTCTAATCCTATGATTAATTTAGAAAATCAATTGAAGGAAATACAACCGGATTTTGAAGCCGATATGATACCCATATCATTTATTATTGTCAATTGTGAAAATACTTATTTTGCTAAATCATCAATCACAATTAATGAAATGCTAGGCAGTGAATCTCTTCGACAACGTATTACTAAAGAATGTGAAAAAGTTGGTATTGATTCAACATTACTTGATGAACCATCAATAACACCAATTATTAATTCTTCACGTACTATCCAACAATGGATAGATGTTAATAGTTCAAAATCTACTTATATTATTTATAAATATAAAAGTGATTTATGTAAAAGTCAGATTGAACAACAAAATAAAGAAAAAGATATTAATCAATCACAATCATCAATTACTATTGAACCAATTGATTCTATGTCAAATTTAAGACAAATAAATAAACAACAAAAACTTCAAATTGATGAATTATTATCGTCGATGAAAAAGATTAATGAGAGAATTGAAAAACAAGATGTAAAAATTGAAAAACCAGATGCTAAAGTTGCACAACAAGATGCTAAAATTGCACAACAAGATGCAAAAATTGCAGAACGAGATGCTAAAATTGCAGAACAAGATGCTAAAATTGCAGAACAAGATTCTCAAATTGTAGAACAAAATTCTCAAATAAAAGTATTAAAATTAAATATTCATTCATTATTTATTGCAATTAAACCATTAGCTAATTTAAATAAAAGAATATTAATAGAAAATTTTCGATTGTATTTAGTGGGTGTGGTGTGGGTGTGAGTGTGGGTGTGGGTGTGGATGTGGGTGTGGGTGTGGGGGTGGGTGTGGGTGCACCTGTGGCTGCACCCCCGCGCCGACCTCCGCCCGCCACCCCCCACACCCA